AAAGAAATACAATTTTTACAAAGAGAATAGTTGTGATAAAATTAATTAAAATGTATTGATTAGCCGTGCATAAAATAAAATTAATTGATAATTTATAAACTAAATATAAAAATAAAATAAAGCAATAAATTCGGATGCTTATTTTGATGAGCAAACTTTATAACAAGCTTTTCTCAGCTATAAAACTGAAATGCTACTAAAATTTGGGACTATAAACGTTAAATTTATTAACTTTTGGTGATGAATAGAGAGTGGATTCGGTGAACGTTGTACTAAGACTTATCATAACTTCAGCATCGCTAAAAATTTAAGCTTAAGACTCATAAAATTAGAATTCTTTCAAGTCTAAAAGCTTTATTCATTATATCAATTAAAGAAGCGTAGGAGAAAATTACTAAACATTGTGTTTCACAGATGGCTGAACATTTTTCATGATTAAAAATGTGTATAAGGTAAGTTTATAATTAAATTGAAGTATGTAAAACGTTCAGTTAGTTGAAAGTTAGATTTTACTTAACAAAACTTTACATGGATACAAAATTGGGAATAAAAATATTGAAGCAAGTGTTGAAAACAGCAAATTTCAGGTCTCTGAACTAAGTAAAAGAGAAGCTTTTTTATAATTTTTCCATTAATTTCAAAGTAAAAAACTTGAATTCAGCATTTTGAAGGCAAAACTTATAACTCAATTACTTGAAATTACTTGAAACCATGAAAAAAATTAATTTAATTTTAAATTCCTATATTATGAATTTTTTATGTTTCTATTAAGAAAGCTTTGAAATGGAAAAAAAATTAGTTCTCAGAAATGTTCACTTAATTGATGTTAATTGAACTTTGAACTTCGCGTATTGTTTTTATGGATGATATGAAATCATTACATATTATTCAAAAAAGGATTTTTTCTTTATCTACCGATTTATATTTTGACGGCAAATATGAATTAGGTTATTTTGTATTCAAAATATCAGTGAATTTTTAATGATTACTTGTAACTTCTATAGCTTCGTAAAATTCGAAAAGAAATATGGAAATTTCAGAGAAACAATTTAATTCATCGATCAATTCATCGATCAATAATAGATCAATCAATTTGTAAAGCATTAATTAATATTTTCGATCTCTACTTCTATTAAATGAACTGCTGAATCCATTTAATAATATTTCATATTTTTTGTTTTTAAATAATGTAATTTTTTTCTGCACATGCAGTTAATATATTAACTGAGTTCCAATACTGATTGGAATAACAATAGAAATTAAGAACAATTTTATGCTTTGAAAATTGAATGCTAGCAACAGCATTTAAAACTTTTACGAATTAAATTAATATCTGACCGGTCAGTACTTAATTGATAAATATCCTTTGCTAAATGATAACATATAGCGAGCGGTCAAGAAGCATTTTTTAAAGAAACATTGATTAGTTTGAGATGCAATTTTAGAATATTTTTAAAGTATTTAAAGAGATATTTATCAATTAAGTATTCAAAAATTATGCAAAAATTTTCTTAATTTACTGACCATATTGATTGCAAATCAAATTTACTTTTATGTGGAAAAGATGAAAATTTTAATTCATATTTGTGTTTCAAAGTGATATTTTCCAATGGCAAAATCAATCCTTTTTACTAGTAATCTAATAATTTACACAACTTAATTCTGATTAAATAAACTGAAAATCATTATCGATTTGACATTCCATTATTTTGATCAATCGTTACTTCATTAGCAAATTAATATTTATTTGCCTTGCTAACTCATTAAAAATCCTCATTGTTTTACAGCTAATTAAAAAAGTTATTTTAATAGCAGAAACGTTCTGCAATTACTGGAAATGCTTTTAATAAATTTTAAAAATCATCCTTTAAGATTTTGAAAAAAATTCGAACAGAACTTTTAAATTTCATAAATACAATTTTATTTTTTTAAGTATTTTTATTTCAACAAAAAACATTCAAACAAAAAATTAATTAAAATAAAATAAACAAAAATGTGAATTTTCTTTTTGCTAATTATATCTTTCCACAAATATAAAATAAAATCTTACTAATCAAACAAAAAAAAGCACAAAAATGATAAAAAATACTAATTGAATGCAACAAATCAATTGTTGATTTCATTTTTTTCAGTCAAATAAATATTTAAAAAAATATTAGCTAGAAAAAAACACCGTAGAAGCAAATTTTGTTAGTTTTGATGTGTTTCTTTAATATAAGTAAAGCATTTCACGTGTAAAAACAAACCATAAAGTATTTAGACTGACGTGTTTATTTATTCACTATTTACATTTAATTTTTTTAATTACCATTTTTGTAACAAAGTAGATTTAAAAACGTGTATTTAAAGTTATAATTATAAAGTTAAAAATAAAGGAAGGATAGAATAATACAATCAAAATTAAATTTTAAAGTAAGACAAATAAATTGATACATTAATCCTGCAATTTAGTAACTAAAAATATAATTTGTTGGCAAATATTATAATAAAATATATCAAAATCTGTGTTATTATTAGAATTTATTAATAAATATTAAAATAAATTATTCATAAAAAGTTCAAAGTTGAATAGTTTAAAAATGTGGACATGAAGTTTTTTTACACAGACTTTTAAATATTAAACAAGAAAATGCTTGAACCTAAACAACATGTAGTGAAATAAAAATATTTTACGAGATAAATATATTATTATCGGAAGTAATGAGCTAATTTAAGCAGTAAGTATAATTATGTACAAAATATGCTTAACAAATGTAATAAAATTTTATAGCTTTAAAGTGGAATATTTGTAAAACAATAAGTCATTTATAATAATGTCAAACTCTCACCAAACTTTAAACAAAATAGTATTTAAATAAATACAAAACTAAAAAGATAATAAAAAGCATAATAAGTAAATATTATTTGATGAATTGCTTAAATAGCTAATATGTAAATAAAATACTTTTTAAAAACTGCAAAACAAACCAAATGCTATTGTTTCAAAGAGATGTAAGTTATTCATTCGAATATCAACGGAAATGCAATAAAAGTAGTTATTTATTGTTTTATGTTTCGAAAATAAGCTTTAAAAGAGTGATGGATAATTTTAAACTTTTGTAAATTCATTTGTGGAAAAAGTTTTTAAAATCATCGTTAAAAGTATGAAAAATTTTTTTCAACTTCAAAAAACTAAAATATATTTTTAGCATATTTTTTATTATTTCTTTAATACAATATTATTACAAAGTTGGCTGATAAGTTTTAGTTTACTTTTATATTAAACATAAAGTTGTTAACATTTTTTACAAGTAAATTTCAAGCATTTCTTAAAAATTTGTAATATTTAATCGTTTTTTAAATTCCATTACATTTTAATAAAAATTATATGAACGAAATATCATATTACAAATTAATAATGTAAACATCTGAAGAAAAAAAATGCTTTTGAAGGTAATAAGTTAAATACGACATAATTTATGCAAAAATTAAAGAATTCTGTTAGTTAAAAAATAAATCTCAGTTTAAAATATGCTCTAAACTATCAATATTTGTGGTACTGCCACTTAATGAGTAAAGTTTTTTCAAACTTTTTTTCAATAACTTTTATAAATTTTCAACGTTCCCTAAAAAAACTCAAAATTTCCAAGAATTTTGTTTCATAAAACACAAAAATTTTTATAAATTCGCAGGCATAAATTTCAGTTTTAACTTTACCATTAACAAATTAATTGAAAATTACCATATTTATAACTTTTTATTTGAAAAAAAAAATGATTTAAGTTAAAATTTTTTTGATACTATTTTTTGATATATTATTTGTTTTATTTATTTTTCTGGTATTATTTTTTGATAAATTATTTATATTACTGAGTGCATTACAACAATTTTCATATAGTCTCCACAAGTATGAAATTATGTATGCAAAACAACTTTTTTCAAGTCAAACGTTTATGTAATTTTCGAATACAAAATTTATGAAAAATATGTGAACATATTTTTGATTTTCATACATTTTCGATACTTTAATACGTGTTGTTTTCTCCGAAAATACGTGTTACCTTCAAAAATACGTGTTGTTTTGCGATTGCTTGGCATATACAACGTCATGTTTGTGAGTGTTGTCTTATCGTATTTTACTTTGGTTTTTTTTCTGTTTTTTTGTCCAAAAATTACGTTATTTAATTTGTATTGTTTTAGTATTACTTTGCAGAAAGCTTTTTTGAAATATAAGTAAAACAAAAAGTATCCATGTGTAATTTTTAAAAAACAAAACATTTTTGTCCAAAATTGTAGAAATTGCTATAGTTAAATTTTCTATTAGTCAGTTATTGAAATGTATTTAGTCCCAAATTACTAACCGTTGTCGGAATGAGCATGAAGAAGTCGAGATTCTTGATAAGGAAGATGATAAACGATGTTTAATATCTGGATTAGCTGAAATCTCAATTTTTGTGCTGCAGTTCATTTCTAACACATAAAAATATGCAAATTAATATATTTTATAATTTTAATATTCTAATAATTATGAACATTTTTCTCAATAAAATTTTTAAAATCATGAATTATCATTATTTGAAATGCCAAAATGAATAATTATTATCAAATTATAAAATTATTAACAACTATATTTTAGTGTGCTAAGGTATATGCAATTACTCAAATTGCTGTAATTTATTTTTTTTAAGTCAAAATAATTATATTATATTAATTATAATCTTTCTTCAAATATACAAATATGAAAATAAAAAAGATAAGCAAGAGATAATCACAACGATATTTTACTAACTTTATCTATTGCGTATATTAGTAACTTCATCTTTAATAAATAACTTTATCTTTAATACTTTAATGCCATCCGTAATACTTACGTGTGCATTCAAATACTGATTCACTTCATAGTGCACTATTACTTTCAAAGTTAATTCAATATATAATACATTTTTTGAGCAGTGAACATTAATGATTTTTTTCCGATGACTGATCAAGTATACATTCAAATAAATTCAAATCACTCCATCATATTTAGTTGATAAATATAACTTAAAATACTTACAATTAATAGAAGCAAAATTGCTGAGTACTACAGATGGTGAATTGAAAACTTGCGAAGGGGGTTCGAGGACAATGTTTCTAGCTAAGTTTGTTTGATTCATGCATGGATTATAACGGTGATGCACGGTTGATCTTGAATCTTGCTCTGCTCGTGATGTTGACGATGAGATAGAAATCTGATCTGTCTCATTTTGATCCATTCAGAATTGCTCCAATTTTCAGAAAATCTGCAAGTTTGATATGAAAAAATTAAGCTCATTTAATATAAAGCAATTTAATATAGACTGAAATTCAAATAATAATAATTAGCAATAATAATTAAAATATATAATATTTCTCTAAAAAAATAGATATTCTAGTATGAAGACATTAAAAAATTATAGTAAATAATAAACTTAGAAAATTAAATAACCAAATATAAGTGCTATCATTAAAATGCATCAAAAACTTTATACCTTGTAATACAAGCTAATATTTAGTCTTCTTTTATCATACAGTTATAGCATTTAATGAAATCATTAATAGAAGAGTTTTAAGGTCAACAATAAGTAACTAAATTTTGTACAAAATATTGTAATTTGCATATTTTAATAAATTGAAACCAAGCAGCAATCAATTTGAAAAAGTAAAATTATGAATATTCAAATACTTCAAATCTTTACTAACCTAAATAATCTGGATATGCTATAAAATTTTATTAAATAATGACCAAATAAATAAATTGAAATGTCATGATTTATTTGATTACGGATAAGTATGGAACATTTGAGTATGCATAAGCATCTTTTTTTGATGTTTTTATCCCAATTCAACTTAAGTAAATTGTGAGAGAAAAATTGATTTGAATATTCAGTCAGTTTGAAAAATATGACTGGGATAAGTAGGTAAATAACTAAAATTTTTAAAATCATTTAAAGACTTAAATTATATTCCGAAAACTATTAAGTGAATTGTTTTTAATTAAAAATTGATAAATTATGACAAAAGCTAACCGATTATTTTGCCAAACAGTTAGTAAAAACAACGTTATTAATTATTATTTGTGCAAGTAAAAGGTAAATAATTTTATTTGACCTTTGACACAGAAAATTAATGTTCTTTTAGTAAAGTTTAGACGGAATATTAAAAAGATTTTTAAAGAATTAGATAGAAGTAGTCAATTTATTATTATTTATTTTGATTTGAAATAATGTGCATATTTCATAGCTACTGAAAATATTGTCATACAAAATAAATAAATATTTAAGTTGTAAATGTGAATCTTTACATATGATCTAATTTTAATAAAAGTTTAAAAAATTAAAGCATAAATTTCTGCGACAAAGGTCAAATAATATATCAATTTGAATTGAAAATTTAGTCTTTAATACATTACCAAATATGAAACAAAAAACTGATCTGAATTATACAAAAAAGAGTGTACAAAATTATTCAAATAGATATTCAAATCAAGATAAATAAATAAAACATAATATGTCTAGGCAGTAATACTGAATACTTTTTATCAGTACAAGATTTTTGAGTTTTTAATTAAATTTGTAGGCAGTAATATAAGTTTTAACTCCTTTTATTACAATCCTATCACTGCTTACTCAGTAATATTCAAATACAATTACTGATAAAGGAAGCTAAAAGATATTAAACATTTTATCATATTGGTGTAGATATGCTAATTATCAACTAGTTTGAATCACTTTTTTAAATCATTTTTTAAAGAAAACCTCAAAATTTTCGCTACTTAATAATTTGCAGCTTTCAGCAATTGAATAACTTTATATTTGCACACATATCAAATTATATTTAAAAGTTGTGAATGAAATTTTAGTTAACAATAATGGTAAGAATAAATAAAGTATTCAGTGCATTAAACTTAAAAATAAATATGAATGGTATAAAAATTATATAATTTTATAAATTGGCATTTATTTATAACATATAATAATAATATTCGGATTTCGGGATTATTTGGCTGAAGATTGTAACATTTTCAATTTATTTAACTGATTTCTCTTCTGATATTTCTTTCAAACTGAAAGATTAATTGATTTCTCAAAGGATAACTTTATAAATTAATTAATTTATGATAAAATAAAGTTCAGTTTGAATTATTTTGACAAGTATTGAATGTAATCACATATTAACGTGAGTAGCTTATTTTTATTATTATATTCATCAAAAAAATGAAACAAATTAATTTTCATAATAATTTTGAATTAATTTATGTGATAAATCATTCACTTAGTTACACTATTAATTACTAAGAACTTGAAAATTAAAAATTTGATCCATTATCTATTTTTTGCGTTCTGAAGGCAAGTCTAAAGCTAAGCATTATTTTAAGAGATTGTTTGCTAAAAATGAAATTTTTGTTGCTTAAAGTTAAAGTCTAAAATTCAAAGTATTTGACTGCTACTAATATTCTTTGAAGTATGAGTATTTAATACTTAAATATTGAAGTGGTAAAAATAACAGTGCAATTTTATGCTCCAGTGAATAGTGCCTAATTAATATATTGTGCAAAATATGAATTGAAAATTTGCTTTTAACAAAATAACGCTATGATTTTATTAATTTTGCTTTATTCAAAGCTTAAATTGTAGCTAAGACTGCTAGCAAATGATATATTAACTTTTAAGAGGACAGCAAAATTTTAGATTTGTTTTTAAACCAAATTCTACTTTACTAGTAGCTTTGGAGTTGCTTAAATGTTAAGTCATGAGTTCTGCTTCAATTTCTAAGAAAAAAAAAACTGATTTAAAGTATTTACCTTAGTAAAAATTATTATTTTTATTATTTATGCTTTTAGTTTTAATTTATTAAATTTTTTTATGTTTGTAAATGAATAGCTTTGTGATAAACATTTAAACAAATTATTTTGAAAACAAAAAAATAAAAAAGGTTGGGATAAATTTAAATAAATTGCAAATATAAACAAGCAAATAATAATTTAGTAAATAATTATTGAGATAATCAAAAAAATCAAGTATGATATAAGCAGAATAATGAGTAAAGCAAGTAGCAGCAATAAGTATAAAAAAGTTTTATTCACGTATATAAGTAAATATATTAGCACGTAAATTATATGCGTACAGCTAGCTTATTTTGTGGTCATTCAGAATACTGCTTATTTTTCTAATTAAAATCGGATTTTTCAAATTATTTTTTGCGAATCTGTGCAACAAAATCGCCATCGAAATAAAAATAAAGATATAGGCGTTGTATGATGATAATAGTAATCGTTTAAATAAGAATTCAAAGAAATTACATTAAAAAAATCAAACATTGCGCATTCTGAAGAAAAATAAAATTGCTTCGATTATTTTATTATCAATCAAATAATCAGAAAGTGAATAAAAAAGAAGGCAACACCTAGAAGATAAGCAAAATTTTAAATAAATGCTATAGCTGGCGCCATTTAATAATTTCAAATTGATTTTTTATTAGAATTATAAATTCAATTTTCATTCTTTGGATACCATAACTTTTTCAATATCTTAAATTTGTTCAGTTGGATATCTATATAAATAAATTGCATCTAGTAATGCACATATATAGGTTAGTCAAAAAAGATCAACTTCACGAATCAATTATACAGATCAGATCAGGTCGATCTTTGGATCAAAAGATATATGAAAGCGTAAAGTGATCTCTACGGGTAGCTTCATCAATGAAATGCAACAAATGCAACTTTGATACTTTATATACATACATTCTTGCGTTATTTTAACTGCGAATATAAGAAATTTGAGCAAAAATTAGTCAATTAATGCGTATATTGTGATTGTAAATTGAAGGATCGTTGTCAATGCTATAATCCTTCTGCAGCTGTTAATCTCCATCGCTGATTACACTAAATTCATTCATTTACTTACTTATCGCAGTTGGTATTTTCAGTACTTTTATCCGCCATAATTAGCATTATTGTTAGTCATTAAAGACTTTGCTAGCGCATATTAAAAGAGCTGAAATACAATTTAGCTCAACTGCAAGTGTGCAAAACGTATGATTTCAGTAGTTATGTCAGTTTTGGCTATATTTGTAGTTTGCAAAAGTAATAACTTTTTAAAAACCTAAAAAAGATATATTAGAAAATAGCATTTGTTCTAAAATTGAAACAACTGAACACACTTTTTCAGTCTTATTTTAGACAGAAACAAATGCTCTAAGCGGCAAACAACACTTGCTGACAAATACACATAACTGTCTAATTAAGAAAATAAATTTGAGTAATAATACCAGTTGTTAAGTACAAATCTGTTATTTGTAATAGAAATGAAATAAAAAGTCTTAATGATTAGTAATTATTTGCTTAAATATTCAAAAATTATAACAAACAAAAGCAATGAAAACTTTACTTAAAATAATTTTGGAACTTTAATTTGATGGTAATATCTGTGGAAGAATAATTTAAATAATTTGATATTTTAATTTTATAGTTTTAATTTTACTATTTTTAATAAATAAGCTAAAATTGGCTGAAATAAATGTAAGCACAAAAATTAAGATCCAAATGTATATTTTTTTTGTCTTATTTTTAATCCACTTTCTAATTTTCTAATTCTCCTACTCTCCTTTTATTTTAATTTTGTTTTTAATTTTTGATTTTTTGAAAATTCTAAACAGAATAAAGCAAAGTTATCAGTAAGCCAAAAAATTAAAAATTCAGCAAAGCATAAAAGCATACAAAACAATCCTCAAAGGAAGCAGAAAAATTCTTTAAAAATCATGAAATAAAAGTCATCGAAAATTTAATTTTCATGAGAAGAAAACCGATAAAAATGATTCTGACTTAGTGAATGGATAAGACTTCTCTTAGCTTAAAAAAACAAATTTTAAAAAGTAATTTTACAAGTAAATAATATAAAAATCATTCAGACATTTATTTTTTGCTATTATTTGAGAGAGAAAAATAAGCAAACGTCATTTATGTTTTTGAATATTTTTCAAATTTTCATTTAAAAATTATTGTTGGATTTTTTATTGATAAGATTTTTAATGGAATTCATATGGACAAATATGGAAATTATGTGAAATTTTTTCTGAAGCAAGCAAAAACTTTTTGATACTTGATTAAAGAGATCATCTCGCAGTTCAATCTATACTTTAAGATAGAGCGCAAAATTATTCGATTTCAAATTAATTGATGTAATAATGACGCTTAATTTTGATGCTTGTGGTTAGCTTCATTCTTAAATACCCT